GACTGGTTTGTTGATCAGCATGAAAAGGCACACAACACAGCTGTGAGCATAGAGGCAGAAGTACTTGGAGTGTTTATCCCTCCTTCAGTGGCCTGCGGTTTAATTGTCTATTTCTTCCAGAAAGTGCCCCGAAGAACCCTCTTGAGGCTTGTGGGCAGATGCCCTCCCTGACCCCTGCTGGGCGAAGCTCCTTAATCCTGGCAGGTGATGCTGCCTTCTTGTCCCAGGAGGACTGTCTAAGTAACTACAGAAGGGACTGATTTAGTTCACTGTTGAAATGCAGCCTTCCCACAGATGGAAGGTGGCAGCTCTTGATGCAATAGTATCGATTTGCTGCGGCCGGTCTGCTCCAGTTGTAGAAAAACTCCACACGACTGGCTACCTAAGGAAGCAGAAAGGAGGCTTAGCCGGGCAGACTCCCATGGCGATCAGGTCAGCTGTGGGTGGAGCAACCCTGCAGGTCTTCAATAGCTCAAGTAGGGGGATCCTTCTCCCTGGGCTTGGCCCCTGTTTACCAGCACTGTGGTTCAGATCTCAGCTTGGGAATCAAACAGCCCTGGCTTTAGATTCCCCTTACTCATTTACTAGCTACATGGACTGCATCAAGTACTTAACTTCCTCTCATTCATTTTTGTATTAAAAAATGTTTACTGAGCACCTGGGAAATCTCTGCATTTTTAAGCACCTGCGAGAGAGGTTTGGCTCCATTCATGCCCTGGATATGTGAACAGAGCAAAAGGTACAGATGGGAGGGAGACTGCCTGGCTGTCCTTTTCTCTAGTTGCTTAATTGGGAAAAACCCTTGGACCCAAGGTGGCTCCTAGCGTTCTGTGAAAAATGCTGTATTGTGTTTCATCAAAAGTTGTCTAGAAGCAGCCAGAAAGCTCTGCCTGGGGAGGACAGGTGGGACAGCTGTCACCTGAGAGAGGCCCCAGCATAAATCACAGAGAGCCAGGAAAGGGGAGGGCAGGTTCACCTAGAACATTAGAGCACTCTTGGTTTTTATCAATCGATGCCCTGCCAGGGAACTGGGTTGTGTTTCCTTTTCCTTTGCCTCCGAATCAAATTCTTTAGAGCTAAAAACACTATCCCTTGCTACTATCTTCAAATAAAAATAAAGGACAGCTCTGGACACCCGAAGGTGGCTTTTTAAATCTCTCTTTGCAAACGCCTGCCTTTCCGGGCCATTTGCTGAGCTTGTCAGTGCTGGTCTCTTGTCGAGTCTGCTGCTTGGCAGCCTGATGCTGTGGTTGTACTGTGCCAAGGTGCCAGGCACATTCCACAGTCGTAGTTATTTCCAGTTAGCACAGCAGCTAAACCCATATAGTCCTCTCTTCTTCCTCCTGAAACCTCACTAAAATGACAGCTAAGGAATAAAATGCCATGAAGCCACAAGGATAGAGAAAATGTGGGAAACTATGAAAGAAGTCAATGCATTCTTGGAGGATGCAAAGCAGATGAAGGAGTAGCCACTGACTCATCACAATGGGGATAGCAATGGCTTCAGTGCCCACAGAGAAGGGCACAAGGAGAAGCAAGCCAACAGCTCCCAGGATGCAGCAGGCAGGCCTGACACATGGGCTGAAGCCAGGGGGGTGGTTGGAAGTCTATCTGGGTTCAGTTAGAGACCCAAGCCCCTGCAGAAGTGATAGCTGGACCCCGCCTCTCCTATACTTCAACTTCTCTATTTAGAAATTGAACCTGAAGAGACTAGGGTCAGGACAAGAAGACATCCTATATTGGAGATGGTGGAGGTACCACACAGGTTGAATACGGGGATTCTGAACATTTGGGGGCTTCCACCTACTCTCCTCTCTTCTGCCCTCCAGATGCTGACGGCCAGGGCCTAACGCCCATGGAGAGGTGGCTTCTTCTCTAGGAAGACTCAATAGAAAATTCTTATCGATCCTGACATTTGAGGACTCCCTTCTACTTTAGAAGTTGATAAGCCCAGGCATTTAGAACTTCTCACCGGCTGGGCGCGATGGCTCACGCCTGTAATCCTAGCACTCTGGGAGGCCGAGGTGGGCTGATTGCTTGAGGTCAGGAGTTTGAAACCAGCTTGAGCAAGAGCGAGACCCCATCTCTACTATAAATAGAAAGAAATTAATTGGCCAACTAAAAATATATATACAAAAAAAAAAATTAGCAGGGCATGGTGGTGCATGCCTGTAGTCCCAGCTACTCGGGAGGCTGAGGCAGGAGGATTGCTTGAGCCCAGGAGTTTGAGGTTGCTGTGAGCTAGGCTGATGCCATGGCACTCACTCTAGCCTGGGCAAAAAAAAAAAAAAAAAAGAACTTCTCACCACTTCTATTTTTAGTTGTTTATTTATTTTATAATTATCAGGAAGTTAACTTGTCTGAACTCAAACTGCACATTCTGTCCCCCCTGGGGTGGGAAGTAGCTGAAATCTCAGCCCCATTTTTTTGCCTTAGCAGAGCTGCTTAGAGTCTGCCTCCCACATACACTGTTCAGGAGGCAGCCAGCGATTAGGTAGAGATTTATGTGCAGAATATGGGCTTCTCCTTTCTGGTTGTCTCCTTTCCTCACTTTTTGCCTTTGTGAAATAATCAGTACTCTGATTATTTAAGCCAGCAAGCCTGTAGGTTTCTATTAGAATTTTTATCCTTTGCTTAGTGCGGAATGGGACTTTTTCTCAGGCTAGAAATTATGAAAGAAGGAGAAATGACCAATGCTTACAAATGTCACCTCTTCAATATCCAGCTACCTTTGTTCACTCTTCACTACATTTGGGAAGTTTTTGTTTGCTTGTTTTAAGTTTGGGATTATAATAGTCTTCTGGGGAAAGTTGGTCTGATAGATGATTGGAGCTAAATTTTGGTAGCCATTACTTTTTGATAACTTTTATTCTCCTATCACTTTTCTCCACCTTACTTTTAAATATGAATGAGCAGCCAAGGATCAGTGGGGGTTTAAGGAAAGCGTCTAACATAAAAGATGGAGAAACAAAATAAAACAAAAATATCATGGGGGAAAGTTGGAGGAAGGGGGTTCTTCGAGGAAACAGAGATACTGCCCAAAGCAGAACAAAATGCACAAGTAAATTCTCTACAATAATATTATCAGAAAGACAAAAATATTTCACTTGCAAAACAAAAACAGGCTATGTTAAAAAAAAAAGAAAGAATTAGAGAACAAGAAAGTTCCTAGAAATTAAAAAAATATGATTATGGAAATATACAATAGTGAGAAAAACCTCTATAAAGCAAAACTAAAAGAGATATGGGTAATAAAGAAAAAATATAAGAAAACAGAGAAACAATCTAAGGGGACCTACATCTGATTAATAGAAGATAAAGAAAAGAAAAATAGAGAAAATGAAGACAAGAATATTTTCAAAGAAATAATGCACAAAATCTCCCAGAATTGAGGGCCATGAGTATCTAGGGTCTAGGTCAGGGGGTGGCAAACTATGGCCCATGTGCCAAATTTGGCCTGGTACCAGTTTTGTTAATAAGATTTTATTGGAACACAGCCATGCTCATTTGTTTACATATTGTCTGTGACTGCTTTTCCACAATGATAGAGTTGAGAAGTTAAGACAGGGACCATATGGCTGACAAAGCCCCAAATATTTACTATTCTAAAAAAGTCCGCTGACTCCTAGTCTGAATTAAAAGATCCTTCCATTGACCAACACCATGAATATAAAAAGAATCAAATGAAGGACATTACTGTGCATTTTCACAACACCAGAGATAAAGAGAAAATCCTGAGACTCCACAGAGAAAAGAAGGTGAGACAAAAAGGATCATAATGAAATTGACCTTCTCAATAGCAGCAAGTAGGGCTTATAAGAAAGTGGAGTGATGCCTTCAAGATACTGCATGAAAAACAACTTTCAACCTGGGATTTAGTCCAGTATAAGAATAGAATCAAGTGTTTCCAGACACATTTTTGTCTTGTACTTCTTGTCTTCTGCAGAGGATATGATTCAGCACAATAAAGGAGCAAACCAAGATATGGAACATATGAGGCCTATACGCAAGACAGTGTAGGAGATACTGAGGGCTGGCTGGGCTCCAGGCCCAGAGAGTAACTGGTCCAGGCTGGAGAAGAGCTAGGGGTAGGGTCAGGGCTGGGGTCTCTACAAACGGATACATGGAACTGATGGCTTGTCTATATGCTAGACCAAGGGGAGGAGAGCACTGACTGCTGAGTGTTTGGGAATACTTAAGTGCTTAGTTTATATAATAAACTAAGAAAAAAAAAACAAAAAATGAATTTATTTCAGAAAAAAACAAAAAAATGTATGAGAAAGAAAACATAATTTTAGCACTGACTCAACAGTGAGTAATATGTACATAGTCACCCAGTGGCCCCTCCTGCTGGGCAGCTGAGTAACACCTCCTTCCCCTTAGCACCTCCGGCCCTGGGAGAGGCAGAAACTAGAGTTACTGACCTCTGTTTGCTCTTTCAGCAATTCTAATACTTTCTAACTAATACCCTATATTAAATTTCCCTCTATTGAATTATCTAGCATGAGTTTATGGAGTCTGGCTTGTATAGAAGTCAATTAATAATTCTAAAATCGATAAATCAAGAAATAGCAACATAAGCATCATGTTAGAAATAGGGAAGTAAATAACAGGAATAAAAAGGGAGCAAAGAGTTGAAAGTATTTGCCTCTGAGGAGAGGAACTTGGGGGTAGAGATAGGGTAAGAGAGGGATATATTAGGATATATTATATGAGGGAATGCTCTTTTTGTTATAAATCTTTCATAGCCTTACTTGACATTAATCTAGGTGCATATATTACTTTGAAAAAAAATACAAAAAGTCACTGACATATTTGTCAACCCCAAAACTGGGCCAGTCACTGGGTCCCCTGTTCCCACAAATTGGGAACATCAGCAAGTTAATAATTCAGGTGAGCATGGGAGTCTCCTCTATGTAACAGAGGGAATGTCCTGGAAAAGGGTAAAAATGTTTTTACAAGCTGTCTCTTTATTTTAATTCTTTTTTTTTCTTTTACAGAGTGACCTCTTCCTGATACAAGCTGTCTCTTTAACCGCCCCCCCCCTTCTTTTACGAATTAAAACCTGCATCTCTTCCTGAGGCCAGTAATCAGAAGGGCAGGGAAGTGTCCTTTGTTCTTTGTACCACAGGAGATGACTCAGTGGAATTGTCTGAGTGGAGGTCATAAGATTGTCTTTGAGAGAGATGGGATGTATTTCTACTATAGGGAAGACTGTGTGGTACTTTAAGATGCAAGTTTGCCATACTCCTTATTTGCTGGCAAATTAATAAACTCTCCTTCACTTTTCCTCAGACTACTTGTCCTCATTCTTCTGATGCACCCTCGGGGACAAGTGCCAAACTTTTGGTAACATCTAGGCTAACTATTAGGGTACAAGGGAGGAGACCTAGATTGCTCATCTGATATAAGTGTATTTATTTGGAAATATTGCTTCCATGGAATGTTTTACTTGGATTTTATGCACACAAAAATACTGTATTTCCTTTTCCTAATGCATCTAGTGGAAAGCATAGTACACAAAAAGTTCTCAATTCTTGTAGGTGGATGAGATAAGCTGGAGAGGGGATACTCCACTTTCTTCCACCTTAAATTTGAGGGGCAAGAATTATGTGGTGACTCCTGGCTGGGCCATCTGGCCATCAGTACAGGTGAAGATCACCACAACCAAACCTCAGCCCTGGCATGGGATTGGAATCATTGACTCCTTCCTGTGCACCTCCTCACAGTGGGTCATGATGATGTTGAAGCATGTGGACCAACCTAGTTACAGACACAGACAAGGATAATGGGTAGAATTAAAGCACCAGCACCTTTAAGTTGAGACTCCCATTAGAGGTAGTTTCTTCAGCTTCCCTCATATAGTCTAGATCAGCAGTCCTCAAAATTTTTAAACAGAGGGCCAGTTCACTGTCCCTCAGACTGTTGGAGGGCCATTGGAGAGTGGGGCGCACATTCCACACATACGCACTGTGGGGCCAGTACAAGTCGGCTGCTAAGTAGGACAGGCAGCAGTGGCAAAAAAAATCCCGGTGGGCCGGATAAATGTCCTCGGCAGGCAGCATGCGGCCTGTGGGTTGTAGTTTGAGGAACCCTGTGAGATCTTCTTCCAGTCCTGCTTTTCCTTGTGCAGGGCCATGTAATCTTCTATAATTGCAATCTGCCCAAACAACACCTCCCTTAAACTTCTCTTTTCTTCCCCTCCTCCTCTTTCTTTTTTTCTAGCTTTAGACCCTTGGTTTTCTCTTATCTCTTAGTTTTGAAACAGATTTGAGGGAAGCTCACAAATAGAGGCCGCTGCAATGATTTTGCTTCTAGTCAATCTTTACTAAAATTCCAAGGGATGACACCATTAGAGTTAATGAATTAACAGTTAACTCTTCAACTCGGGTGCATGAACTAAAAAAAAGAAAAAAAAACAAAAACAAAAAAACAGTTAACTCCATGCCTTTGTTTCTCATTTAGGGTGTACAGTGGGAAGATTGATTGGGTCTTCAGAGTCAAACACACACATAACAGGTGCTCCATGGAAATATCCTTGCAGTGCCTTTCCACCCCACAGTATTGCTTTTCTACTCTGCTCTGTCACAATACAGAATTATATCAGCACAGTGAGCAAAGCTCTTGAGGGGTAAGTAAGGTTGGCCTGGCCTGGGTGACTTATAGAAATGCAGTTTATTCTCTATACAGTGAGAATAGGCAGAAAACATGTGACTTTTGGGGTTTGCCCTGGAAAGGGGAATAGACTAAAGATTCTACAGAATTTTCAAGTATTTTACATAAAGAGATGCTTTAGGGGAGCACAGCAGAGGTTCTTAGGTTTTGAGTTTTGCTTAAGACCTGGCAAGGGGTCAATTTTTTATCCCCTAATATGGCATTTTGATATACTGGACTGACTGAAGAAGCCTCAAGTACTTTCTGACCTTTCCTTCCCCCCACCATTGGCTCTCCCCAAAGCACTGATGTTTCTTTATCTGCCAAGGAGATCCAGATCCACTTAGGAGAACAATTGTCCTGTGAGCCCAGTAAAGTGACCGTACCAGAATAGGCTCTTTAAGAAGATAATGTTCCATCTCTCAGACTCATTCAAATTCCAAAAAGAACTATATATGGGTTAATCTTTGTTCCCCATCCCATTCATCCTCCCTAGCAAGTCTTACTGCCCTTCCGCAGAATTCCTCTTTTCTCCTCTCCCAAAGCCCATTTTACTACAAAGGCATATAAGCTTCTGAACCCCACTGGGGAGTTGAATCTTCATTCTGAGGGTTCCCATGTATACATGCTTAATATTAATAAAATAAATGTGTATCTTCTTCCTCCTTTTAATCAATCTGCCTCATGTCAGTGATTTTTCAGTGAACCTCAGGGGAACAAGAGTCTTTGCTCCCTAGAGTTCCTACAGAGCTCTTAAAGAAAACCTATACTTTCAAAGCTTCTGCTGGTTCTTAGTGTAACTAAGGGGTTAGTGGTCATGAAGAGGGGGTGTGGTTATTTTGTTTAGGAAACAGATTTTTGGCCTTTTTGGTTCTAATAAAACAAGGCTTTGTCGTAGTTTGGAAGAGAGGGATTATGACAAAAGGACCTACTGCTCTGCCCCAGCATAGTTGCCCTGTCTACTTCTCTCCCCCCATCTGTCAATGTGGGAGCCAAGACTGGGAGCGTCTGACTGGGAGATGTGATAACCAACCCTAAGCGCTTGCCGGGACAGCGGAACTCAGGAAACAGCTGGTCCAAAATGGAATCTCCTGCAGCACAAATTGTCTACAGGCTCAATTTCCAAGGGGAATATTTTCCTGAACAGTACAATAATCCTCTCTTGGTGTTGAGAAAAGGTCAGCTTCACACACCAGCTTTTTATTAAGAGATGTTAGAGGGACTAAAAGATAAAGAGTCCAGTGTCCATGCTCAGTGAACAAGCTTCAAGAGAGGGAAAGTGGCTGGAGTACTGTCCACTTGCAGGAGCTCAGAGTGAGCAAGTGACAATCACCATTAAAATGGAAGCACCCATCTCCCCAGGAGTGCTCAGAAATATTGCAGAGGGAACTAGATGTCCTGCTTTTTGTTACAGGAAGTTTGGCACTTTTTCCTGAGGCTGCATCAGAAGAATGAGGACAAATGGTTTGAGGAGGAGGAAAGGGAGGTTTATTAATTTGCTGGCAAATGACGAAAAGGCAGACTCACGTGGGTTTTCTGCTTCAGGGTATTGTTGTTTAACTACAGTTGATGGTTCCCATCAATCCCATCTTCTGAGAAGACAGTCTCTTGACTTCTGCCTGGGCAGTTCCATTGAGTCATCTCCCCCGGTACAAAGAACAAAGGACACGCCCCTACCCCTCTGATTACTGGCTTCAGGCAGGGATGCAGGTTTTAATTCCTAAAAGAGGTAGGAGGTTTTAAAGAGATAGCTTGCATTACATTTTGCCCTTTTTAAGGCTGTTCTCTCTGTTACACTACTGTTTGTTATTTCATTGATTCAACAAATATTTATGGAATTCTATGTGCCAGGAACCATCTGGGCCCTGGAGACAGAAGAGTAGATAAGACAGGGACTTTTCCCTGCCCTCATTTTGTTTCTCTCAAATTGATTCCTATGCCTTTTGTCTTACTATCCAGCCCCTCTTTAAAAGGTCTTCTTTCATCTAATTAATCCCACGGGCTAAGTTCATGCCAGAACCCTCAAACGTTTGGTCATACAAGCCAGGTACATTTCTGTTGGCTTCAGTGATAATATTTATTGGGTGTTAAGTGACAGGCATCCTGTCAAGCTCCCTATGTATCTAATTTGATGTTGTAACAGAGTAGTCACCCCTTCACCCACAGATATGGAAGGGTAATATTGACAGGGTGGAATATGTAACAGAAAAAATGGCTTGAAAAAATGGCAAAAAATGTTTTATGTCTCTTTAAAACATCCCCCACTCCTTTTGGAGAACTAGGACCTGCATCCCTGCCTCAGGCCAGTGGCCAGGAGGGACAGGGAATGTCTTTTGTTCTTTGTACCACAGGAGGTGGCTGAAGAGAATTGTCTGGGTGGAGATCTCAAGATTGTCTTAGCTCCAAGATGGGATTAATCTGGGGGAAGGTCAGGAGATCATGTGAGAGTTGCTCTCCCTATACCCTGTCAACCAGAAATAACCAAAGGGTCAGAATCCAGTTTAAAAGAGCTTAATTTTAACAAACCCAGAGCAATATTGCAAAAAATAAAAATAAATAAATAAAAATAATAATAAAAAAAAGAGTTTAAGTATGTACGGGTGAGGCAAAACTTTCCCTCTCTCTCCCCCAAAGTTTGCTGAAAGATCAATTCACAATTAAGGCAGATTAATGAGAGGTTTATTTACCATGCACATGGAGAGAATCAGAGAATGATTACCTAATATCCCAGTGAGATCCAGATATTTTTATACTTGCCTTGTAAAGGGAAGGGGAGATGAACAGTATAGGTAATTCTTATCTTGTTTTTTTTTTATATATATTTTATTATGAGGATAGGCCATATGCTACAGCAGAAAGTATAGGTAATTCTGTTTAGGAGCAATAAATGGTTGCTAGGGAGGATGAATAGATACTTGGGAGAATGGATGGATGGGGGAAACAGATTGACTTATAAATTAACCTGAGAGACAGGTATCGTGTTTAAAATTATTTGGGTCTAGTCTGGTGACATTCTTGATCTTCTTTCCTATAATATATTGAGATAACAGGGAGAGAAAGGAAAGGAAATTGTTCTTTTGATTGGTTTATGCAGATAGAGGGCAAGTCTCTTTCAAGTGCCTGTTAATCTCTAAGAGCCTTTAATTCAAAATATTCTTTATACCAAAGAGTCACATTTTGGGGTGAAATTTCCTGTGCTTCTGCAAGGGCAAAGCGGAGAATAGCTACTCAGGTAACACAGACTCCAGTGAATGGGGTCAGTGTTCTGAAATTGAAAAGTTAAGGTCTTGCTTATATTGGTAGAAACCAAAGAAATTTAACAGGATTGCAACATTTTTCATACAAAGCTGGTTTATGAGTTACAGCAATTTAATTAGTGATGTCAGGTTTTAGTCTGGAATGTTGTTCTTAGTACGCTCATGGCCAAAGAATGACCAGACGCACTAAAGTAAGGCAAGCATGAGGTGAAGTTTATTGAGGAGGAGCAAGATAGGATTACAGAGCAAGAGCAAGATATAGGTTGACAAAGTGTGATACATGCACCACAGAGGAACCCTTCTCACAGCA